ACTGGCAACAAGAGCGTTTCCAAGACATAACCTCCAAGCTCGGCCATTTCCTCAAGCAGGCAGGATTCAAGGTCAGTTTTCTTTAGAATATTAAGTTTGTCTGCATCGGTGCATATCCTAACTTTTTTTTTGTTTGATGCATCGTTTCCATGTTTCCCAGGACTGCGATGTTTTCTACATCCCCACCAGCGGCCTGTCAGGAGAGAACCTCGTCACCAGGAGTTCCGTGACCCAACTCACCTCCTGGTACTCTGGTCTCAGCCTGCTGGAGCAGATCGGTAATGTGCAAGCTGCCGAGAGCGTTCACCGTGTCTCTGACACATAAGAAGCATAAGCTGTTGTCCTTCATAGGTTTTCATACAAGTCCCATTTCCTGGTGAAAGCATTACTGTCTTAATCTGTGAAGGTGACGCAGTGATCTCTTTATCCAAAAGTTCATAAAAAACATTTGTTTGCATCAGAAGAAAATGCTTGGGTATTATATATGCAGTAGTTTCCTCATTCACACATAATTGCAGTTTTACTAGTTTACTGTGGATTTCAGTGGAAAGAAGTTTGCACAGTGACAATGTGAGTCAGACATAACGACACAATAACTCATAATTCACTTCTCTGGTGGCCATTGCGCTCGATTCGTGTTCCAGTGACGTTGTTTAGCTGCGACCGTCTGAATCATCGCAGCTTCTCACAAGCCTGTGCGAGGTCCTCAGGGGCTGAGCGTTTCATTCGTTTTGAGTGGAATACTACTTGAAAGTGACTCGCTGACGAATTGAGGAAAGCTTTGTTTACTAATTTCAATAAATTGCTGATTGTCCGTATTAATGGCCAGTAAGGGAACTGAATCGTTGGTGATTCATCACCACCGGTATCCAGGTCTGTCGTCATATTTCTTTCTCGAATCTCTTTCTCATGTTTCTTCCTCATTGTTTTCTTCCCCTTTCTTAAGACGCCTTCAAAGCTCCTCGGAGGTCTGTCGACAAGCCGTTCCGTCTGTGCGTCTCCGATGTGTTCAAAGGTAAAATCACTCATTCTTCCAGCGCAAATTATTTTGCCCTCGTTTCCTTCTCTTTTTCTGCGATTAAGCTGATGTTGCATATTCTCCTCCCAGACCAGGGTTCAGGCTTCTGTGTCACAGGAAAGATTGAGGCTGGTTACATCCAGACCGGAGAGAGAACGCTGGCGATGCCTCCCAACGAGACCTGCACGGTCAAAGGTACGCGCGGACGTCTCTCTGCTGCCACTCATGGCACGGTGGCAGACTTTTGCACTGCACTTTTTCATTTTCCGCTTTCCGTATAGATGGCAATGAGAACATTGGGCCCACAATGATTCCCCCAAAATCATGTCGGCCTGTTATTACTCATTAGGGCTTAATAGAGGAAGCATGAGGCCCGTATCCTGCCTCTGCCACGGACGACCTTCAATGTTTACGCTCGGCTCACTAAAACATCCATCACTCAGGTGGAAATACAAATAGCACGTTATTAACATACCGTAATTTCCCGACTACAGAGCACACCTGAATATAAGCCACACCACCTAAATTTATAAAGAAAAAAAAGTGTGCATATATAAGCACCTGTCTATAAGCCGCAGGTGTCCACGTTGTAACATGAGATATATACAGTTTTTTATTTTTAATTACCGGAAATAAATGTATTTTTCCAAAAAGTGCCTGTAACACAACAATAAGCCTGCAGTAACACGGCAGAAAAACGACAATAACCCTGCAGTAAATGGCGGAAAAACGACAATAACAATAATTGAACAGCCCCAGAATGACTTTGTCGGACACTTTCACAGTCTCTCACGTCAAAGGTACTTCATCCATATTTCTGATCTCCTATGGTCCGATGGAATTCTCGGCTATCTTTGTTTGCAGCGGCTTATAGTCCCGAATTTACGGTATTGTCAGCATCCAGCAGCAAAAGCAAACACTCCCGCACGCACTTCCTCACTAACATTTTGAATGAACTGTGGATACAGGATTTTACATTGTAAGACGACAAGAACTGGTTTTGTCTGTTGTGTTTGTTCTCTTCTATTTGCTGAAGTAAGTAACACCTCAGCTTCAAACACACCTGTCTTCTCCGCGTATGCCTCATTGAGCGGTAAAACGCTGCCATCTTGTGGCGTCTTGGGAAACGCGGCTGAACGTATTTGCTCTGCAGGTATCACTCTACACGACGAGGCTCTGGACTGGGCTGCAGCAGGAGACCACGTCAGCCTGACGGTCACCGGCATGGACATCATCAAGATCAAGTACACACATCACGTCATATCATATGGGGGGGGGGGGGGTCGTGCCCACTCAGGGGTGTAATAACTAGTGCTAACTGCTCCCCTCCAGTGTGGGCTGCGTGTTCTGTGATCCCAAGGAGCCGATTCGAGTCTGCACTCGATTCAGAGCCCAAATCCTTCTCTTCAACATCGAGGTCCCCATCACACAAGGCTTCCCGGTAAGAAAAATGCACACAAACACACACATGCCGTCACACTGCCAACATGTTTTTTAGGTGGTCGGTACATCCGTTCAAATGTCCGGATGACCTGTTTAAGTTTTGACTGGTCAAAAAACTCCTGAAAACAATTTAGGGCAAAAACACAATAATTGATATGCTATTTGTAGCCATTTAACATGAATTTGTAGTGATTCAATTTTGGAGACACGTGGCTGCAACATGCAACTCGACCGGTGGGTGGAGGCCTTAAACCACGGAGCATGTGAACCCTTTCATTGTATCCGCGCGTTGTTCATTCTGTGTGTGTGCTCGGTGCAGGTTTTGCTGCATTACCACACGGTAAGCGAGCCGGCCACCATTAGGAAGCTGGTCAGCGTTCTACACAAGAGCAGCGGTGAAGTCCTCAAGAAGAAACCAAAGTGAGTGTGCGTTGTGTTGTTTTACATGACAATCCATAAGGATGTAACTTAAAATGTAATTCTCTTGAGAACGTTCCTTACTCCTTGTGTGTGTGTGTGTGTGTCTTTTCTATCAAGGTGTTTGAGTAAAGGTATGAATGCCATTGTGGAGATCCAAACCCAGAGGCCGGTGGCGTTGGAGCTGTACAAAGACTACAAAGAGCTGGGCCGCTTCATGCTGCGATATGTCGGCTCCACCATCGCTGCCGGCGTTGTCACTGAGGTAAAGTAGGATAAAGTCCCAGCAGCAAATAGATTTTATATTGTTGCATGAAAAAAAAATTGCACCTTTTACTCCAAATGTTTCTTTTCCATCTCAGTACAACACTGAGATTGAGTGAGTTCACCCGATCGTCTGACATGACATTAGCTGTTGCGTAGTTCCCCCTGGACACGAGGATGTTTTGATCTTGTCCTTCCTTTGTCATTTCTTCGTTATATGGAGGATCACTTTTAAACCATTCCAGAAACCGTTATTGGCAGCATTTTCTTCTGATGCAAACAAATGTTTTTTATGAACTTTTGGATAAAGAGATCACTGCATCACCTTCACAGATTACGACAATAATGCTTTCACCAGAAAATTTACTTAGGACTAAAAAGGACAATTGTTGTTCTTAACTCTTTTCCATGAAACTGACCTATCAAAACTCCCCAATTCGTATTCTAATTGTGTCAATTACACACAAATATTTACCGATAAAGAGTGGGCAATTTGGACCGACGTGCTGGACGGGCGGCGGCTCACAGATGCCAGGCGGAAGCCGCTGATTCCTCTCTCTGACCCGGTGTTCTTTGGATTTTTCAGATCAGACAATGAGGGGCATTTCCATCGGCACATCCGGTCAGACGACCTCTGGGGACCACAAGCTGCTGCAGATTTCAGTGCAGTTCCTCGAGAGACATCCCTCGTGGACTCCACCGCTCCGCCCGCCACACCGGCTGCTTCTCCTTTCTGCTCCGATCAACACTAACCGCACCGACACCATGTGGCAAGATGCCAAGGAGTCGCCCCAACAGTCCACCCACTTCACATTTCTCCCCGTCGAACCATTCACCCATCACTCTAAATTCACCGTTATTTATAATAATAACTATTTTTATTTTCGATTCCATAGCACAATCTTACCACGCCGAGAGTTCTACAGTGGATGATGTCACTGTACTTTTCCGTAAGATCGTTTATCTTGATTCAGAAAGTAAGAACCCTGATGTAGCGTTAAAAAAACAGCCAGCTGTGGAGCAGGGATGTCCTCAACCTCTTGCTTATGTACGGACATTTCTTTTTATACGTGAAGTTAAGATGAGGATTAACATCACCGCTCTTTTGCATCATCACAGCCTGAAATGAGACAGGAATAACTGAACGACCCGTCGTACCGGAGTTGCCGGCAGACATTTGATATCGTCGTTATCACAAATATGTTTGCATCTCAAGCCACGTGGCCGAGGAGACGCGGTCCAGTCCGACCAAAGTAGTTTGTGAACAAAAAAAGGGAAACTCTCTGCAGGATGATACTTGAAATACTTCTACAGTAAAGCACCGACATGCTTTTTGAAGTACTCCACTTTTTGAAGTTTTTTTTCTCCTCTCAAAGACTCGGCGAAGAAGAGGACAACAGTTGAAGAAACTGTCTTTGTTTTTTTTTTCCTTGTGTTGGGAAAGATGCAAAGGATGCCGATGCCAAATGAACATGACATCAATAATGTGTGTTTTGACTTTTGATTTCGGCGCTGCGAAGTGCCTCTTTCCAGCCTGTAACAAGAGCATCGACATGCTGACTAGAACATTTGTGCAAATATATAAGATAATAAGTTAATATAAGAGAAAATTATTTCATGAATAGTTTTCCAAGAATCTTCATAACCGTCTACGTCATGCAAACAAAAGACAAAAGTGCAAATACATCAAAGGAGATCAAAGAGTGAAGAAATAAATCAAAAGGTGAACGTGTAGTCCATTCTTTGCTGCAGACACACCTGCTTTTTTATTCTAAAATGTTCAATTGTTTGAATAACTCTTAAGTTTGTATTTTTAACAAACCTTCCTGTAGAGGGATAAAAAGATGAGTTAATGTACTCTGCCTGTCAGCAAAGGATGATGGTACATAAATTACATGTCATTCAGCTGATACTTTTATCCAAAGCGACTTAAAATAAGTGCATTTCAACCATAAGGATACAAACTAAAAAGGATAGAAACAAGAAGATGCAATTGATAAATAGAAATAATAGCAACCAAATACAACTGCACACAACGCCCGATGGTGTTTTTGCATTCGTTAGTTTCTATTATGAAATATTCAATTATTTTATCAACAAAAGTGTGATTTTGTCAGATTATTGGAACATGTCATTGTCTCTGTTAACGGAGTAATGATACTAAATACCTCCGCGCAAACCTTTCTGAATAAGAACTTCCTAAAGGGGACATTAACATGAGCTACCAGCATTTTGACTTGTGCTCGCAGGAATAATAAACTGTTTTAGGCACATGTGCAACTTGTTAACCTTTTTCTCTGCAAAGAAAAAATCAATCTGGTGTCAAAGTCCATGCTTCACTTTTATGACAAACTTTATGCCAAAGTCCAAGTTTGTACTTGCACTTTATTGCGCTCAATGGGGGGGGGAAAAAGACTTCCAGGTAATCTGCATTATTAAGTGATAGATTTTATTTAATCAGCACGAGAGCCTTTGATTCCTAACCAGCGCCCGGGACAATAATTAGCCCGACCACGGTGCATTTTATTGTGAAATGTGACAGAAGAGGCCCGCTTTAAAAGTGGGAGGATCGATCGATTAAAAAACCCGGAGGTAACTTCTGTTCACCGTTCATCTGGTTGGAGACGCATCCATCCCCCCTCGATCCCCCCCCACCAGACCCGCAGCCATGCAGAACCCCGCGGAGAGGAGCTCGTTCCTGGTGCTGGAGAACTTCATCGGAGGGAAGTTCGTGGCCTGCGGGAGTCACATCGAGTCGTACGACCCGTCCATCGGGGAGGTGTACTGCAGGGTGCCGGACAGCGGGGAGCAGGAGGTGGGTCGCGTTTCACAGACAGCGGGTCCGGTCGCGCTGTCAGGCCACTTTCCGCACCGACGGCCGCAAATGTTTGCATCTTTGTTTGCGCGTGTGCGGCGTGTTGGTGTCTGCGGGGCCCTTTGTACGTGACCAGCGTTTGCCACGTGTTGTTTATTATTTTAATTTGTATTCTTCTTGTCCGCCCCCCCCCCCCCAGGTTGAGGCGGCGGTGGCGGCCGCTAAGGAGGCCTTCCCCGGGTGGTCCGCGCGCAGCCCCGAGCAGCGCGCGCAGGTCCTCCGCAAGCTGGCCGACCTGATGGAGGCCAACCTGGAGGAGTTGGCCCAGGCCGAGTCCAGAGACCAAGGTGCACATCATCTCATTAATCCCATCAAATCAATGCATGTTATTTCATCAGAATTACAGGGTCTGCTGTACAGATTATAAAGCCCCGAATGTATCAAACTAAACTATTTTGCTATGAGTGTGTGCTTGTGAAGGCAATACAACAAGGCCACCATGTAGTCTACTGGTGTCATTCAATTCAAAATAATGTGCAAGAACTGACCCAATGTAATGCTAATTGTGTAGTAGATTAGAGTGACCCCGGGAGTGGAAAAAAAAGTATTCTCTGCAGTTAAATTCTAATATATTTACTATCACATTCCAGGTAAAACGGTAGCGTTGGCACGAACTCTCGACATTCCCCGGTCAGTACACAACTTCCGCTTTTTCGCGTCGTCTGCGCTCCACCACACCACTGACTGCAGCCAGATGGACCATGTGGGCTGCCTGAGCTACACCGTCCGCTCCCCTGTGGGAGTAGGTGAGCGCTCAGTGATTTTTGCCTTAAACCCTACTTGCGTATTTTGATTATTTTTTTTTTCCTGAAACTTTGTTGTTGTTTGCAGCTGGTCTGATCAGCCCGTGGAATCTCCCTCTGTACCTCCTGACCTGGAAGATTGCACCTGCAATCGCCGCGGGCAACACAGTGGTGGCGAAACCCAGCGAGATGACCTCCGTGACCGCGTGGATGATGTGCAAGTTGATGCAGCAGGCCGGTAGGACTACAGCGCCCACAATGCATTTGTGATCCTGCTTGTATGCACAGAAGTTCTCTTAAGAATGAAGCCCACCCGTCCATCTCTGTAGGTGTTCCTCCAGGAGTCGTCAACATCGTATTTGGCACTGGGCCGAGAGCCGGCGACGCCCTCGTTGGCCACCCCGAAGTCCCATTGATCTCTTTTACTGGTTCCACGGCAACCGCCCAGCGCATCACAGAGCGGAGCGCCCCGTACTGCAAGAAGCTCTCACTGGAGCTGGGCGGTAAAAACCCTGCCATTGTTTTTGCTGATGCAAACCTGGACCAGTGCATCGAGACCACAGTTCGCTCCAGCTTTAGCAATCAGGTAAGAGGTCATTGTTAGGGACTGTTTGATCACTCTGTTTAGGACATTGGGTAACTTTTACTATTGCTGTCATTTTGTTGTATAAGGTACATGCGCTTGTGAGGATTGTAGTCAACGCTGGCACCACAAAGTGCTGGGGGAATTAAGGTTGATTATATAAAGTCTCTGACCTGCTTGAAGACCGTTTCTGTGGCTCCATCGGATGAGGATGCAGTTATATATTTGTCCACACGGGGGCGATCACAGTCCATAATTTGTTCCTTCAAAATCTGCCTAATGACAATCGGTGATTCGATCTGAATCCTCCCTCTTGATCTCAGGGAGAGATCTGCCTGTGCACCAGCAGGATTTATGTGGAGAAGAGCATTTACTCAGAGTTCCTGGAGAAGTTTGTGGCCGCGGCCAAGAAGTGGACGACGGGTGCGCCGTCTGACCCCAGCAGCAGCAACGGCGCTCTCATCAGCAAAGAGCACCTCGAGAAGGTGATGAAACCGTTTCTTAAAGCAGATTTTCATGCTTACAACACTCAATTTTGCTTTGGGTTTAAATCCCCCTTTGTCTCAATGCCTCAGGTTCGACAATTCGTAGCACTCGCCAAATCCGAAGGCGGCACCGTCCACTGTGGCGAGGGGGTCGACCGCCTTGACCTCCCCGAGCGCCACGCCAACGGGTACTTTATGCCGGCCACCGTCGTTTCAGGCCTGTCCGAAGGCTCCCGCGTCATGCAGGAGGAGATCTTCGGCCCGGTCACCTGCGTCGGCTCCTTCGACACAGAGGACGAGGCCGTTTCCAAGGGCAACGGCGTGCGTTACGGCCTGTCGGCCACCGTGTGGTCCCGGGACGTGGGGAAGGTTCACCGGGTGGCCAGGCGGCTGCAAGCGGGCCTGGTGTGGACCAACTGCTGGTTGGTGAGAGATCTGAACCTGCCCTTTGGCGGGATGAAGAGCTCCGGCGTGGGGAGGGAGGGCGGGAAGGATTCCTACCACTTCTTCACGGAGGTGAAAACCATCACGATCAAACAATGAGGAGCAGAAATTTTTAGATAATAATTTATCTCTTTTGTCAACTATTAGAAATCTGTGACAAATTTCTCTTCCCATTCTGTCGGATATCCGGAGTCTATAAATAAGTCTCTTAAATATAAAACAAAAGTCATCGTGGAAAAATGCAGTTGGATAAATAAATGTAAGGTTGTTCTATAAACATTGTGAATAAATGCCACTTGTGGTAGTTCAATTGGTTTTTGTCATGGAAACATGTCTGTGTAAAGCCCAAAATCTTCATGGTGTTTAGGAAGTAACGTCTGTCAGAGATTTCAGATTCACTCTTTTTAACATGTTTTAGATTTTGATCAGCGCACTTTTTGTTCAGGGCAACAATGATGAAACACCCACAAAGTCTTCAGTGTCCGCGCATACATCCTGAAACTAACTGTTTTTACATGGAGTTGTTTTTCATGTCCGACCTGCTGACGTAAGAAAGGTGAAAAAATCCCAAACTGGACAACGTGTTTGCATAGAGGATTCTCTCGAGCAAGCGGAGTGAACCGGACGTTAGATATTTGGCGCTAAACCCAAAGTACAGCCGACCGTTCAGCCATAAAACCATCACGCTGGAGTGAAATGACAAATGTTTTCACCAAATTGAATAGCATTACAATTACTTTAAAAAAAAAAAGATATATTCTGTAACTTCAGAGGCTTGACAGCCAGTACGTGCGAGTCAATCTGCCAACCGGAGGCTCGTTCATTCCACCTCCTGATTGTGTGTTTCTCCTATTTTTCCACCGTTCTCCGGCCCCCTAATGAACACGTCTTCTCCCCTCGCCATCATGATTCGACGCCGTGCATCAGGCACTGGAGTTTGAGTTTGAGCTTAGCAAAAGAGGAAAGGCGGGCCCTCCGGGGCCGTGCCCGGTCCGTCACGCGTGTGTGTGAAATCACGTTCCTCGCCGAGGTGTATGTGCCGTTCACCACGGGGCCCGTGTGGGTCCCACCCTCCTGTGTTTTGGCTAGGGAAGGGGCATTGTGCGAAGCCGAGCTGCACGATTGCATTCACACATCCGTGCTCGTGTGCCTTTAGTAGAACTTAGCGTGACATGGATCCAACCCCGAAACTCAAGTTCTGTTTAAAAAAGAAAAAAAGGATTGTCTTTAATTATATTTTCTTCCGTTGCCGCTCTGTTTTTTCAAGATTTATCTTCCACCCCCCCACCCTCCTCGGGTGGATGTTTCACTGAGAAGGAAAAGGCTCATTGAAGCAGGTCTCGCCCCCCCCCCCCCGCCGCTGTACGTGACTTCGACGACTCCCCCGCCGGGGTCAGCCAAACCAAGCATTTCACCTTCTCCTCACTTATCGGGGCAAGAAATGAAAATAGGGCATCCTTCCATTTTGTAACCACAAGGAAGCTTCAGCGTTTCGCCTGCCAGAATATATAAAGGATATGTTTTCATACTGCCTGCAGGGATATGATAGGCCTCATGCAGAGGGCCATCTCATTCACATGTGGAAAGAACCAACAGCTCACACTCTTTTCCCGGGCCAGAAGTCTGTAAAACGTACACACATTCACCCAGGATTTTCTTTTTATTTGCAAACCGCTTTGTGTACGTGTTTGCGAGAGAAAGATCAGATAGACGCGGATAGAAGAAAGTAGCAGAGAGAGACAACCTCGCTCAACCAGGCAATTCTGTCTCCTGTTTTTCCCCAGATTCTGCAGATTTGTTTTCATGTATCATTTCATCCATCAACCTCGTCCACAACGACATCTCTAATTACGTCTTTGCTTTGGTAGTTTTATGACAAAGGGGAATATGGAACAGTGGGGACAAAACCGTCAATCAGTGGTTTCCCTGTGTCTCCTTCCAGTTTTGCAGGAAGGGACGGAGCGAGTTACTTAGAGTCAGCAGGTTATGTAATTCAAAAAGTTGTTCATTAAGCTTTTTTGGTGAAAACCACGGATGCGAGTTTTAACTGCAGCTTCTCCATTGAAGTTGATTCGAGAGAGCAACCTCCAGGGGTCCTTGGCTGAATCCATCACACTTCTTAACATCATCACAACATAAAGATACAAGACAAAGGGAACAATGACTTGAATGTTAATGGCACGGTCAAATGTGCTTGTATAAATATTGTTTGGTTTGAGGCAGACCTCTTCCTGTTGAGCTGTATCCAACGTGGAGGAATCTTAAACCTGCTTTCTCTCTCACGCCCAGCAGGGGGCGACTCTTCTGGTTGTCTGGATTAGAAGTCGATCCCCACCTCTCACTGGATTTACTTCACCAGTTTATTGTCTCAAAAGTCTCTCTCAATACACCATGATATTCGTATTGTAAATTGGGGTCTAATGTGGACTAAACAAAGACCTTTATATAAGCAGATTTGCGAGGGCAAAAATGAGCTGCATGTGGTCTAAACGTGTTCACGGATCGCACACGCACTTCACTTAAACTCCCGAGGCAGCAATGATTCATGCTTGAATAAATAGTTCCTCTATCTTGAAGTGATTCCTCGCTCATTATCTTCCTGGTATTTGGCCATTGGGAATTCACACATTTAGGAAGAGCAAGTTCAAATCTCATTCTCCACACACACACACACACACACACACACACACACACACACACACACACACACACACACACACACACACACACACACACACACACACACACAGGAGGCTCTGAGGGGATTAAACAGACATGTAAATAGAGTGGAGAACATCATTGTGCTCTTGCTATAACATCCACCCTCATCATCATCCTTTTGGTGTCTAAAAAAACGATAAGATCAAAAGCTACGACCTTTGCGCAGTGAAGTCGTGCATTTGATCGGTAACCTCTATCGCCGTACCAAGGCCTTCTCTGCAAAAGGAGTTTGATCGGCATCACGTATCCAATGCAGGATACAAAGGCTGGGCTCAACCGCAGCGGAGCAGACAATACAGAGAAAACCAGCTGGGCATAGAAACGTTAGACGGTTACACGAGGGCGTCTACCGACACAAACGCCTTGAAAAGCCCAGAGAACAAAGGACACGCAATAGTTCATTCTAGGAGCACGTGAAATATGTAAAAGCGCGTGAGGCGACCTTCCAGTAGAGAGAACTGCTGTCAAGTGTGCATAAGCGGGTGGACCTGACGTTTTGACGGTTGTCATAGCAACGTGGACACGTTTGCCCAATGTTTGTTCACGTCAGATGCTCTCCAGCTGAAGGTACAGTGGGCCGCGGGGCGAGAGGGGAGACTCGCTTTGTGTTACCTAACAGCTCTCATCGGACACCAGGGAGGGAAATACTGAGCGCGTTGACACCTCCGCCGTGCAGGACATCACTCCTCTTCAGTGTGTGTGTGTGTGTGTGTGTGCGTGTGATGCTCTGTCCTACATGTCTCGCATTCACTGTTTGACATAATGATGAATGTTGTTCCCATAATCCCATGCTCCTCTTACGTCGTACACTTTATACTTTCATACTGTCTGTGAGTAACCTGCACCTCACCACGTGAAATGATAACACCTTTGGGTTCATTATAACATCTGCAGAATGGCTGAGGTGGAGAGTGGAGGAGCAGCCTTTCAATGTCTTTGATGAAATGGCTTCAGGCGTTTCATGGGCTCCGTCTTTGTTGCTTCACACGACTGTCTGTGATATAAAAGAATATTAATAAACCTTCCTTTCATTCGCTCTGTATTCAGCGTCTCTTATCTCTGCATTTAAAATCGAGCTGGATCTGCGAAGCGCTGAGGCCGGGGGCCCCTGGGTGACGGCCCGGCTTGGATTTATTGAGCCTTAATTAAAGAGCGTGAATGGAGGCAGACAATTGACCTTTCAGGTGAGTATATTTGGTTCAGGGGGTCCTTTCACTGTGACTCACTTTATCTGCTGGACGCAAGTTAATGAAGATAATGAGATGTTATATAAAACACACTTCAATTTGAGAACGTTATTGATAAATGCAAGTATGCTTGTGCAGAAAAGCGGCACCGTGCAGATGGAGAAGGACGCCGCCGAATCGGCGCCTGAACGGAGAAATAACGGAGCCAACGTGTCGCGGGTGGAACGGCGCGCAGAGCCTGTCGCCTCCAGCGCGGCTGCCTGACAAAGGCCGTCGGGGTCCCGCTGAGAGCGGCGCCGAGCCGAGGCCTGTCTGGGACCATGTGTGCATGAGCGGGGAGGGAGGGAGAGTCGCCCACCCTAACGCTGACTAGTCATTTCCAGGCTCCGAGGCCAGATGGCCCCAGTTTTGGCCTCTGATTGCCGACGCCGTGGTCCGTGCGAGCACTCGTCTGCACATTCGTGGACAAACACAGAAGTATGCGTCCTTGAAAAAAGTCTCACCTCCGAGGCGACGGTTTAGTTTTCGATTCCCGCCTGAAAAGGTTACGCGAGCCTCTTGCCCGGTCCTCCTACCTCGGGAAGGTTTCTATTTCAGGCTTATAAATGACAGAGCAGGTGAAAGATGTGACTTTTATCTGCTAAGGAACGTCTTTAAAAACCTAAATGTTTCTTCCAGGTGTTGAAGCTTTGGGGGGCGTGTCTGCGTCAATGCGTCTCTTCCCACCTCAGGTGCACTGAACATCATCTACCTGTTTTTTAAGCCACCTCCCTTTTTGTTTCATGCGACCTGTGCGTGCCTTCGTTTTTTGGGGGGGGGGGGCCTGGACTCTTTCCTGCCGTCTCATTGGTTAGCCCGTGACACACCGCCTTCGGGAACGCCGCTGCAAAACATCACAACGTGACACAAAGTACACAACGAGTGGTCGACCCTTCCTGACAGATAAAGGCGCCATGTGACCTCTCCCTCTGTTTGCATTTGCTTCCTGTCCGCGACTCATTGATCCCTTATCACCTCAGTGGCAAAGATAATAAACACACGCAAATTCCTGACATAACTCAGAGCTGCACGTTATTGTCCACACATACATTTTGTAACATTAAAGCGAACACATTCCGCGATTCCACCTAAATGTAGGATGTGATATTTCATAATATGGTTAAAATGTACCAATCAAATCAGTACAAGGCCAATTCCGTTCAATGCTAAGTGCATTGACTCTGTGTGACACACACACACACACACACACACTCCTTGCCGTCCCGTTCGTGCTAACAATAGGGCCTTGTCTCAGTGCATTTCCTGACTCAGTGCAGAGAGAAAGGCAACCTTTCCGGGGATTCTTCTGCTGTGTGGCCTTGTCCGTGCCCATTATTACGAATACACACACATCTGTGCATAATCCACACAAGTAATTTCCCTCATCTGCCGCATGCCGTCATAAATGCAGGCACTTAGTGGGCGGACAATGAGCTGGTTCATGTCCTGTGCTGTGTAACTTCTGATATGATCAAAGGCGGTTCTCCTTTCATGCGAAGCGTCGCACCAGTTCTCTACGTGCAACATTACGGAGACTCTGTACGGCAGCAGTTTATCGGGAAAACAAAACTCTGTTTTAATGGTAGTTCAGTTATCAGAAAAGTTGCCTTTCTTTTGACATTTGTGCTTTTCTTTGCTTCTCTGTGGGGATTTCATCTTAACTTATTGATTATCTCTGTGGGGTCCGATTCATCAGGGACACAATAACAAACAAATCTACTCATTTAGAATGTAATGTCAAATAAAAATGTCAAATAAAGACGCCACAAATTTAGCCTCTTATGTGAAAAGTTGTATTATTTATTTAAATTAACTTCATGCGTGTACAGAGAGGACGTCATGAGATCAATAGGAAGGTTTTCTGTGTTAAATGGCGTTAATTAAATAGTATTGGTATTATTTAGTGTGTTCATTTATGGTTTAAGGAGCAAAATATTTCGTAATACAGCCGGGTTCTGTACTTTTAAGTGTTATTTAAACTAAGGACTAAGCTTCTGTGGGGAATATCAACTCTGGAACACAGAATGTTTCTTTTGGACTTGTCTTGAAGGACGTTGAAATGTCTAATTATTTTCTCTTCATGTCTACAAAAGTATTCAAATGTGGCCTCATCGGAGAAAATACAAATAAAATTGGCAGACCTTATATTGATGTTTTCTTCCCCATTCTGCTCCCACTTCCCGGCTAATTGGATGCATTATCATTAAAGCGTGATGGTATCGGTCCTCCTCGGTGTGTGTGTGTGTGTGTGTGTGTGTGTGTGTGTGTGTGCGCTTTGCGTAACACTGTTGGAGAAGTGCTCGGAGAGAAAGCAGAGCACTCGTCACGCGATGCCGCCTATTGTTGCGCTGTCTCTGAAACCGTGGTTTCAAAACAAAGAGGAGGATGGAGACAGAGACGATCTGAGGGAGGCACGAGAAGAAAGGAGGTTGTGTGGATGCTCAGCGGGGGCCTCACAACACCCGCAGGCCAGCCGTCTCTGGGCTCAGGACACAACCAGGCCGGCCGGGGAGCGGAGGAGAGGAAGGCGGGCAGCGAGGAAGGAAGTGGCAGTCAGAGACAAAGAGGGACCCGAAGGCTTCTGAGGAAAAGAGTCAAAAAAAGAAAAAGAAAAATGGAAATCAAGATGAGTTATGGTTATTTTGTTTCCAATAGTTCCACGTTGAAATCGGAAGGTTTCCAGAACTAGGAGCAAGTTTAAATACTTGTTTGGTATCGGATTGGCCTCTTTTCTGTATCCTCGTGCTGAGGTTTCACATGAGAGTTGAAAACTAGTGTGAAATCTGTTTAAGGATAATGTTCATGCAGACGACCCGGCCTGCGCCCGAAGCACTGGACCACAGCAAGCAGTTACGTCGTTATATACTGGAAGCTCCTGAAAACATATTTCCCCTGTCTGATGAAACGCAACATTTAAAAATGTGACGCCTCTCAGTGTAGCCAGTGGATTCACAGCAGGTACGGACTCGCAGGCCGTCATCACATCTCCATGTCCACTCAGCTTAGAGCCTTCTGTCCTGTTCACAACACAAAGCCGTGATTGTTTTACTGCTGATTTCACTGCACGGCGCTGGAATGCACAACGGGGGGCGTTTGAGCGAGTGGAAAAAACGATAAAAGACAAGAGAGATTTGTGAATGATCAAAAGATGGACGGTTACATCCACCAAAGAGACCGGATGCAACGATGGAGCTCCATCCCAATGTGACCGTGATCTGTTGCTTCATGTAGTGTTTTCCAGCATACTATTCTCAATCAATGACCTTATCCCCCCCCCCCCCTCAACCAAACATTCAAAAAACACTGCTGACGTACAGCTGTTTATTTACATAAATAGGGCGAAGGGGGCGTTTTCGGTGACGGAGGGCAGGAGGGGTGGAGGAGGAAGAGGTAAATGTTTTCGTTTGAAGAGGGAAAGTCTGCGTACGGTTCGTTGTTTGTTCATGGTGCAAAAACACGAGAGGAAACATTGCGTGTGACGTGGATGAAGGTTACTGCAGCACACGCACGGATGGTGGAGTTATTGGCCTGATGGATGGACGGACGGACGGATGCTTGAGTGCAGGGAATACATTAGTTGTGCGAACAACAATTGTGTCATTACATTTTTATAGAATGTAGTTTTCACACCTAAATGCACAAATAAAATGGCTCTGTGTTTAAAAATGTGCAATAATACCCAAGTGAGCAAAGGTTAATCTGCACATAATTCATTACACTGACTATGTTCTCCTCATTACTTCTGTTGCTGAGCAAACAATACAGGTGATGACGAAGGACGTGATAAATAACTGTGTGTGGTCTCTGAGATCAGCACTTTCCTGCATATGAGCCCAAGTAATGTCTTCCTTTAAAAATAGCAATCACGTAGTAGTGGTGTGTGCATAAAAAATATTATGACAACATTATGTTGAAAGGGCACACCGCCAGTGACTGATGGGCTTGATTTCTTTTTTTAATTTGACACAATTCCCAATTCTATTCACTTTAATGAAACCGAAACAATCGTGTTCCGCCTGCTGCTTTAGCAGTAAAGATAATAAGTGGTGATTCAGAGAGGAAAGATCAGGGGACAACGAGACACGAGACGATCCGGATTGGCTCGTCCCCTCCTCGTGGGCCGATAGAGGCTTTGTCCCGTCTATTAAAAGAGCTGTGTTGAACTCTGGGTCGAGTGAAAGTGTGTGTGTGTGTGTGTGTGTGTGTGTGTGTGTGTGTGTGCTCTCGGCGGTTAAAGGTTAATGTCTGTATAAACAAGGGAGGGATTTTGTGCATCAGTTTCTGATTCCAAGTCACTATCTCGGTCACACATGTCATCAGACGTGTGCTTGTATTTGACCTGCAGGACAGCAGCTCAGACTTCTGTCTCCACGGCGACGGCTGCTTCCTGCCATCGGAAGGCCGGGCTTCCTGTGCTGACACGGCGCTGTTGCAGTTGGTGCGCGAGAAACTCACACATGAGTTTCTCGCGTTGGATCATTTTTCGGGGCGCCGCTCACGCGTTCGTAAGCGGCGAAAGGAGAACGATGTACATCCCACACACGTGGAATCAAATGAATGAATGCTAATCTGACGTTACCCCTGACCCCCAAACCCCCCCCCCCATCGGCCGGTCTTCAGCCCATTGTTCGGATGGCAGGAGGTCGCCGAGGCAGAAACGACATCCAGGAAGCTGTTTCAATCCACAAGAAGTTCTGCACACTGTAAACCCCCCCGCCTCCCCCGCACCCCTCCTCCGCCCCCAGATTCTGCTAGTGCGAGACCACAGAGAAATGGAATGTGGGAGCCTCTGAAAATAGCGGAGACGGGACAGGTCAAAGCCATTGTTTGAACTGTCCCAGTGTCTCCTGCACGCGGGGCGGACAGCAGACACGGAGGCACCACGGGGCGGGGCGGGGGGGGCGACGGTTTCACCGCACGCTATTCTTTGAGGACGGCCATTGTACAGCGTCAATAGGACAATGGGAAGGTGCTTTCAGTAAACTCAACATTTGTTATCGTATGTCGGTATACGTCACATTTTATGCATTTGAAATAACCGCCGCTTTCAAGTTACCAAACAACTTATAGTCTGTGTAACTGTGTTGATGGCGAGGTCAAACTACAAATGTGCTCATTTTAAAACAGATAAACTAGACTTCAGAAGTGCTGCAATATTTTACACTCCATTAATGTTTCATCTTAAATAAATGTATTCTAACACGTAAAGGTGCTTTTAAGAGGGTGATGTATCTCATGCAGCTGCAGAGAATCCACAGTCTCGGGATCAATCCAGGTTTGAAATTCAAGTCAACTAAAAACCACTAATGAGGAACTAAATACATTCAACACATTAGGCTTAAATGATGCAGATCATCTTTTAGTGGGCAAAAAGCTAACTGTGTCTATTTAGATAACTATGGCAAAACGCTATTGAAGGAAATGAACCAGCATCAGTTCCTCAACCGTAATGCTGAAATGCATTTGTATTGCCTCCTTTGCTAAATGAGAACCTAAGGAATGTTAATCCATTCTTTATAGTACCGTTTCAAAGTAATGACTTAATGCCACAGTAAACAACTACATCAAAATTTTAAAGGCAATATTATATCAGATAACATAATGATGCAAGTGGACATATTCTGTTACTCTACAAGTGGGACTATAAAGCAACCATTCATGATACCGTTTACGAAGACATACTTAGTCACCCTGTTTACTGTGCACATGTTGACTGTTTACTGGGGGTTTTTTCTTCAATAAGGCACTTCTTAAAGTGCGCACTGCCGCGCTGAGGCATCGTGTGCCATTTATCTAAAGGGCCCTGGGAATATTTTGGATTTGAGACAGAGCTGATGTCCATCTGACTTTTTGTCTTCAGTTCGTTAAGATCCAGTTTGTTTGAGCTTCCCTTTCTCTCTCCCGGGTCGCTCCCTGCGACACCCGAACAGGTTTTTATCAAAATGTCTTGCTACTGGATTGTTGACAAAGTCAACTATGCAGAAGCCAACTTTGAAGAGCTTTCTGCGACACTTCAGCCGGCACCACAAAAGCCAACGCACCTTCCCACCAGACAAAGTTGGAATGCAGCGCTGTGGCATCTGACGTCACTGTCCTCCTGACATTTCAGCGCAGCACGGCGTCTTTATGTTGCATAGCTGATATGTATCAAGCCGAGAGATACAGAACAAAAACTGTGTGTGTTTCTGCAACTAATCGTTCCACAAGACGCAGCAGGCGTCACAGGAAAAATACGCAGTTGCAAAAGCGAATTTTCAAACCAGGAATGTTGCCGCCTACTCAAAGATAAAAGAGAATAAACTGAGAGCACAGGCATCGTTCTGAATTGGAGACCAACCACTCAAACCAGCACTGAGGTTTACTTACTAAAATACTTCACTTTTAACTTCACTCAGCGCTTGGACAAATGAAAATGCAGTTAATCGACTCTCAAATAATTTCCTGTGATTGTTCAAACTCTATGACTCATTTCGTCGTCCTGCAAGGCAAACCATCTGGCACGCTGAGGAGGATCAATGGAAACCTGTGAAATAATTTGCAAATAGCATCTGTCCAATTTTGGCAGCTATCTTCAAAACTGGCCTCGACGCCCATAGTGCAACCAGCACGCACACTTACGCACACTTGCAACCTCAAAAATAGACACAAATAAGTGCTATGTCATAAAGAGGGTGATACTATTTTCCATTAAGGCGTCCTTTATAATGGTCAGTGGTGGAAGAGAAACATTCGCTTTAATGGTGCAGCCTTGCTTATATTTCCACGTGTTGACCACACCGACCTGCAGCAGTTCTCTTTACACAGCTCACATTGCACACGTGTGCAGCATGAATTGTTTTACTTACTCCATCGGTGGGCGCGTAGGCGGGATGTGTGGCCCGCAGGGCGGAAACGGCATCACACTGACCGAACGCCACCTATAACCAACTGGCAAACATGATCAGATATCATGGTCCAAGTACTGCTTCAATCCAGCGTCAGAATGGAGGAAATGGAGGATTTGCTGAAACAAAGCAATAAATGATTAACTTTAATTGCTATCTAACCCTGTGCGTGTGTGTGCGTGTGTGTGTGTTTGTGTGTGTGTGTGTGTGTGTGTGGTAGGTCGGAGCCATTCTTTGTTCGTATCGTATCAACACCACCAGGATGTCCCATCCGAACCTTCCCTACGACTACAGACGTGTGAATAAAACATGTCGAGGAATGCAGAAGTGTGTCTGACGTTGTATAATTGATCAAAGAGACTACGTGCTCACACGTTTCCCCCCCTTTTGACCTCTCGCTCCCTCATCCAACTTTATTCAGCTCAATCTGCTCTCCTTCGCTTTCATCCCGTCGCGTCGTTCGCAGATCGAACCCTTACGTTGTGCTGTGTTTCTCAATGAGAGCACAAGAGGAGAAAGGGAGGGAGAGATGGAGATGATGGAGATGATGGAGATGACTGTGTGGAACAGAGGAACGATGGAGGAGCGGCGAGAAATATCGAGCCAGAAGCACGTGGGAGGGAGAGGCGCGCTCGCTGTCATCGAGGAGTCAATTAGGACGGGCTGATGAGAGGAGGAGGAGGAAGAAAGGAGGAGACGGAGCAGACGGAGGACCGAGCGCACACGCAGAGACACGCGAGCCGAGCAGTCACCCGTGATAATAGCGATGTCACGTTTGACTTCAGCCTCTCCTGAATATGTCTTTCTCTTCGAGACAGATGGGACTGCTTTGTATGCCAGACACGACCCACTACGCCTCATCTGCCCTCTGTGTGTGTGTGTGTCTGTGTGTGGTGTGTGTGTTTTTACCAATCTCCCGCCCCCTCTTTTTTGGAAAAGTGGTTTCCATACAGGAGATTATTGGGGGGGGGGTGGGAGTTTTGTTTTTTGGAGGGAGGGAAAGAGTGGGCATGTGTACCCCCCGACCAGGGATAGCCATTTCTCTTGGTAAAGGATACCCCCCCCCCCCCCCCCCCCAATCGGCAAATCACCTGCTTTTTGGATCCAATTTGCTGTCTTTTGTTTTTGCTGCGTGGAATGTAAAAGACTAAAAGACAATCCACCGTGTTGCAGTGCACCACTCACTGGTTGATGCTTCAGGTCTGACGTTTCGGAGTCAGTAACATTACACAACAGCCGCATCAGACTGGATTCCTTTCATAGTGTTTACAGCTTCCCAATAGTCAGAAAACATCTCAGCACAAATCTTTGGCCTATTTTGACAAACAAATCTTGAAAAATCCTACAAAGGCAGACTATGTCTTTAGGGATTATTTGATCTGCAGGCACCGGAATCTTTATTCTGAAGTTATTTTCTTTCTTTTTTGGGGGGTATTTTTGTTTTTCTCTGTTGTCAGGAGAGGATATTTTCTCAACTCACTATTCCCTGGAACACGGCAGAAACATTTCCATTTCAAAGCAGCCTCTGAGTCAGTGTGTGTGTGTGTGTGTGTGTATGAATATACAAATATATAAATGTTCAGTGACTCTCTTTGCTGCTTATTGTCTCACAGACCCGCTTGAAAGGCTCACAAATTAATGCACTTTTTTCCCCCAAAAAGGGAGTCAGTGAGGTCAATACGAAAAATAAAAATGATACATTTTAAAACAATAAAAATCCTTAGCACACTTCAGCCAGGGACTGTTCATAAAACCTGCTGTCTGGTAGAAACTTATTTAATTAAAATAACGTTGGCAACAAGAAAAAAAAGTAATCTTACAACAAATCACATTCGTTTCACATTTTTGTGAAAGTCCTTTTCCTGCCCTCAAGTCAGCTTTGGATTTTCTTGATTCCAGCACGAGGGATACCTGACCTTTTTATCCAACACCTTTATATAATCTGTGCTAAAATAAACTGTCCTCCTTTGAGGACACGAATCAGTCATGCACTGAAAACAGCCCGAGAGCAAGACTCTCTCTCCCTTTGCAAAGAGGGGCCATTGCAGAAAGGCCTTCAGTGTGCATCTTCCCTGCTGGCGACGAAGAGGTGCCCCCCCCTGGTTGCAAAATGAATGAGTGAATGTTTTAGTTTTGCGAATAAATACATATGAATGAATGATGAAGTACAGTCTTGGGAGTGGGTGGCATATGAGAGCTCCCCCCCCCCCCCCCCCCATGTCTGGGTTACCCAAACAAATTAAAAAAAAATGAAACAACCCCGCCGCGCACTAATAAAAAATAACAAGATTCAAATATTGTCTCTCCGGGTGGGGGGGGGGGGGGGGGGGGGCGACAGCTCCGTCTGCTTCTCTTCAGAATATTTTACATAATCGTGAGTGTGCAGAAGTGGATGTCACTGCATCTTTATTCCACATAATACATTGTCGTTAAGTTGCATTAGTTCGAAGTTGTAAGGAAATAAAACAAGCGTTACAGCTACTGTAACAGAATCAACATCCGTTTTTAACGATGAATATTTCCAGTCAGCCTCCGGGGGGGCGGTGGTGAATACTGTCCATGCGTCTCTTCAGTGCGGCCAAGCGTTTAGTTGGTGTGCTCTTGGTTGATGCTGGCGCGTGGATGTGTACGTGTGTGTTGGGGGAAAAACAGAGACAGCCCGAGGCTCATATCCAATGCTCTTTGTGAAAGAGAGCTGTCCCCTCTGTCAGATCTCTCCTCTCCCAGAGCCGTCACCCTCCCTCCCCCCTCCTTCCCCCCTCCCTCCCCTCTCTCTTCTCTTCATATTCATCTTCTGCTTTCTCTCACATCTACTCACCCCTCCAGCACACTCCCCTGTATTTCATTCATCTCTCGCTATCTTTTCTCAGAATCCATCAGGATTTCACTTTGAACTTGTTCTCTCTCTCTCTCTCTCTCTCCCAACATGTCCACAGCATTCATGATGAAATGAAAATACTTACCTTGCAGCTAAAGCAGATGATCATTTATTACAGACCTGTAATAAGTCTCGCAACGAATGACTAGTTAATAACCTGTGCTCTAACAAAGGAGGCCATCAAATATGTCTGGTGAATCATTCAATTATGCTGTTTCTCTATTGGCAAAGAAAAATGCATTTTCTTTCCAGGTGGTGTCCAACATCTGTGTCTGTGACACAATTATTAGGCTGCATGGAAAAATCCCTCTGCAATTTCCACACTCTGCACAGGTTTCAACAGGGGGACGTCCCTTTTCTTTCTATAAACATTTATCATCCTTCCTCCCTCTGTTCTTGACCCCCTCGTAGTGTTACCGTGGCGATGGGGGACGGAGGGGGGCGGGGGGGGGGGACGGGGGCGGGTTGCCCGTTGGTGTGGCGCCAGATAGGAAGCAGTTGACTGCTGTGCAGGAAGTGGACAATAAAGGACAAACTTAACCTCGGGAAAGTAAAGAAAAGAACGAGTGTGTGTGTGTGTGTGTGTGAATACACACAACCAACGCATGCATCAACACACAAACATTGGACAAAGAGTGAAACTCGCCTGCTGGTTAATGGCCTCGGGATGATCATCTCATCTCACAAGATTAAAGAGTGAGTATAAACTTTGATATCCGAAGCACAGATCGGGGCTACGGGAACTGATTGGCATGCCGTGAGCCTACTGAGGGACAGGAGGCAGAAACAAAGCACGTCTGTAAATAGTGCTGCCGTACGTCTGCGTGCTCTCGGTGGCTCCTGCAGACTTCCTTATCCCGAGAGGCATCGCTGGGATCGACTCTCTGAAGTCGACGCTTCGCGTTGTTTCCCGGAGAGGCTTGAATTTCACAGCAGTGACAGAGAGGGGTGCACAGGGGAAAAGCAAAGGTTCGAAATGGACCGGTCGTGTAAAGACAACAGACAATGGGAAAAGTGAAAAGCATTTTAAAGCGGCCTATTCTTTTAGCCCATGGGGACACTGCCGGACTGATGAGCTCATGACTTAAGCATTGAACGGACAGCTGGAAGAAAAGAAGATCCGTGATTCAATGTGTTTTCAAAGGAGAGAAACCACAGGCTCAATATCTGCTTCCATCCGCTGACTTTCTCCTGAGAATCTGATTTTAGGAGAAACTAAATCTTTCATGTCTGTAAAAAAACATAACCCCCATGAATAAAGACACTTTTCACGCTTTGCAGCAAAACTTACCAGTCTGAGAACTTTTCAGCAGTTCAACCGAGTTGAGATGTGAGGCATCAGGGTTTACACTAATAAAGATTCCTGATTCTTTTTAATCTTTGTGTGTGTTCCTGGATGCGAATGAACTAATTTGTGCTGTGGACGATTAAGTTCATCTTGGTAACTACGACTGTACTGTTTGAACTGTCAAAACATCCGATCCCACGGTTTGTTTCTCTCTGAAAGTCAAATGAAATCTGATTCCCTTTTGAAGGAAACTGTGCTGCAGTGTCTCTGCTCACTAAAACTGCAAAAGATTAGTCAATCACGTGCATGTGCAGCACACGGGTTTAGGCGTCCTATCTTCCTTCACCAAAACTGGAAATGCAGGAAATGCAGCATGCATACAACACGTGTGTGTGTGTGTGTGTGTGTGTGTGTGTGTGTCTTTGTTTCTGCTTTGGTATTTTCTGGGCAGAAAGAGATCATTTATCAATTTGAAGATCTGAAGGTATGCTATAATGCCCTTTGCTCTTTCTCCCTAGAGCCACATGACTCAGGTGTGTGTGTGTGTGTGCGTCATTTGTCGCAGACTCCCCCAGCTCATCCCTGTCAATCATCCAATGGAGACTGTTTTACTGAAAAGGTTACGAAGAAGACAGGCGGAGGGAGAGCTGGCTATCTTAAATATTTATCTAAATAGTCCGGCAAGACAGGGGATGAGGGGTCCGCCACACAAAAAGCTCATGTCCCACACATCCTGATTTCATGAATGTTTCTGCATAATGTCTACTGCAACATCAGCACTCAACACACACACACATTTTTGGTTTGTTCCAAATGAAGTGGGACGAGAACAGAATGTTCCTACCTGCCCAGCTCAGACTATAAACCGGGTAAATCATGTCAGCTATGCAGCAGCGCGCCGCTCGAGGCTGGATGTCACACATGCAGCACACCCTTCACCTTCTGAAACATTTTTTGCTTGTCAACACATATGAATGTTTTTTAATTGCACAGAAGCATTAAACTATTCAAAACCAACTTAATGTGAGTAGCAGTATTATAAGGCCCTTGTTCCCCCGAAATGTCTTCTGTGGTCAGGAAATTAGCAACGTGCAAAATGATTCCATGATAACATGGATGTTGGCCAAATTAAAAATAGCTGATGCATTCACTGTCTAAAAAATCCCCAAATGCACGGAAAATAAACCAGGTTGAACTGCTGGGTTGCTCAAATTTGCAGCCAAATACTTCACATTCCTTTGCTGTCTTGAAAAGTAAAATCTTGGAGCGCTTATAGCTTATAAGTCTACACAATCTACACACAGAAAGTAACTCTCACACGAAAATACACAAAACATGCTGCATGACTTACAGAAAGCAACACATTTCTCCACACGTGTGTACTGTTCACGTGTCACACGCAGATGGGTGTGTGCCAGGTGACTCAACCACAGCAGGAGACAGACATTTGTCCCCCAAGTGAAACAAGTCAACATTCATTTATTTGTTACGTCACATGCAAATCTCAGTAACCAGCCGTAGTTATTTTAACCCAAACGTTAATCTTCTCCCTAAGTTGTCTCCTGTAAAGAATGACATTTGTTTAAAATACTGCATGAAAAATACTTTTTTTGGCAAATGCACAGAAAGTGAGGAGTAACCTTTTGGGAGATACGAACCCTCGCGTCGAGTTACGTTGATGTGTTCATCTAAAAAGTTGAACTTTACCAGGAGATGTCCGAGCCCCTTCCAGG